ATTGGAATTTTGTGTGGAAAATGAAATAGTGGATGAGGCATCATTTAGTGCATGTTTGTTTTTACATTTTCCTTCTACAACGTCTGTTAATTTGAATGCACCCGCATACATATGCTTCTCTGTTTGGAAGCATTGAAATGCATGTGAATAATAAAACACAAACACACCTTTAATAGGTTGGGATAAGGTTTCGAGACCCATAGATAGATCAAGGTGGGTTGGGCTTATTGAAAGCTAGAGAAGCAAACATTTCCATGCTTGAAAAGTTGGTTTGAGAATTGCAACATGACCAAAAGTCCAAAACAACATGTTTGTCAATTGCCTTAAAAATAAGGAGAAATAATGTCAAAATATTGGTCTCCCTTTATATTTTAAAAGCCGAACAGGAAAAATAAAAGATCAAACAAAAATACCTCTATATTATAAAGATGAAAAGTTTATTTAATCTACTCTTTCTCGTAACAACTCCTTTAGTTTGATAATAAGTGTAATGTACAAAAAAAGAAAGTCTCAATATAAATTTCATTTTAACTTTTTAATGTATTATTTATTATCTCCTTTTCATGTATATCTCTAATAATAATTTTTTTTTGGCTAAAAACCTAATTTAGTCCCTTATTATAATTGTTTTTTTTTAATTTAGTTCTACTTTAATTTTTGGTCTTAATTTGATCTCTAATAAATTAAATTGTTGTAATGTCAGACTTCTGTCCAAATTATTTAAACGAAGTTAACTGTTGGTCACGTGAATGTCACATGGGTGCCACGTAGATGTATAGGTAGATGCCAAATTTCATTAATGCATCTAGAACCAGAACGGCCCGTTCTGGTTGCACATGTTGTGTGTTAATTTTGAATTTGGAATGGGCCGTTCCAGATGCAAAATTAACACACCACGAGTGCAGTAGAACGAACCGTTCTGAATTCAGAACGCGCCATTCCAAAATGCCAATCAGTTCAACAAAATACCGCAATGTGATTCAAAAATTGAAAATAAAAATTCATAACATATCATAAATTCAAAGACAGAAATATGGTTCAAAGACTGAAAACAAAAATTCATAACATAACATAACATATACTAAAAAAGTTCAAAGAAATTATTGAGAAGGGAAATCATCTGGATAACGCTGAAGGTGTCAATAATACATCTTATCTACCATATAACACTGAATGGCTGATAGGATATCAACATTATCTACCTGTACATGTGGTTATGTGGTGAAATGTTGGTCCTGTGTATCCTCTTCCTTTACTTCAGGTTGTACCTCCTCAATAACAGGTTGTTGTTGTTAGGGTACATCGGTCAATGACTTCAAGGGGAAATACCATGTCGTTTCATCCTTGACTGTATAGTATCAATTTGGTAGTAAGTAGTTCACTCTAGTTTGACCAACAATGAAATAAAACTTGCTACCATTGTCCTTAGTGATACACTGCATTGTCCTTAATGATACACTGTATAGCCTAAATGTTTAGCAATTGAAGTTATCAATCCCCATTGACAATATTACTAAATCAAGTGTTTGAAATGCTTTGTACCTTGGGTCTTTTTTCTTGCACGATTCACAACCGTGAACTATAATCATCGATCATTTGTATTTGGCATTCTGGAACTAGAACAAGCCGTTCTGGTTCCAGATGAATTAATGAAATTTGGCATCCACCTATGCATCTACGTGGCATCCACGTGGCCAACAATTAACTCCGTTTAAATAATTCGGATGGAAGTCTGACATTAATACATTTGGAACCAGAACGGCCCATTCTGGTTCCAGATGCATTAATGAAATTTGACATCCACCTATGCATCTACGTGGCATCCACGTGGTCAACAGTTAACTCTATTTAAATAATTTGGACGGAAGTCCGACATTGCAACAATTTAATTTATTAGGGGCTAAATTGAGACTAAAAATTAAAGTGGGACTAAATTGAAACAAACAATTAAATAAGGGACCAAATTAGGTTTTTAGCCTAATTTTTTATTTATAGAAAGTATATATGTGTACTTACATAAGGGTACATAATTCCATCACTCCCTATCTTTGTACGATAATACTTCATCTTTATAGTCTTTCTTCTTAATATTTTTGTGATCTTCAATTTTACTTATATGAAAAGTCTAATATGTGCTATTTTTATCTTTAATATTGAAATGAATAGTTCTTAGATACACCTATTTGATAGGATAAAAAGAGGATACCAACAAAAGATACTTTAAAATTTAAGTCAATTTTCTATTTCAAACAGGTCAATACAATTAATGTTGTAATAAATATAAAAGTATTTTTTTTCCTTTAATATATTATTATTTATACTAATTTTATTGAGTCCAAATCTTAATGACAGACTTATTATCTACTTAATTACTTTTGACAAAATTTTTGAATTGTTCATAGACTCATTTAGTTCTTAATATGATTTGAGGGGTATTTGACTTTTACCCTTCAATCAAACCTTTCAAGTATAATGTGATGTGAATGTCATATTTGCCCACCCGAAGCACAAGAGGGGAAGATTAACATCCAGGTTCAGTGTTGTGTGACACTAGATTAGTGCATACGATATAATTCACCTAATTTATTTTCTCTTTTGCTTTCCTTTTCTTCCCTCACATGTTCAAAACCTTAGTTGGATTCATGCTATGATTTTGACATTTCCACAATGCACTGAAAGTATCTCCAACCTCACAATTCAGCACTTTAATGTTTTGCCCTGCTTTTAACTTTCATGTGAAAATATACTAGCAATATAACAAACAACAGAAAAAGGAGTGTTTGGAATGTAGATGACAACATGCATTTACAACAAACGCACTTTGTTATTTTCAGGTAGACAACTCGTTTTCCTTCTATCCTTCTAAGCAGTTCTACCTCCAATTCTTTTTATAAAAAAAATATATATATAAAAAAAGCAAGTTTAGTGTATAGTACTAATGAACATGTGGTATTCCTATGCCAATATATCTTACCTGTCCTACAAGATACAAAAAGGAAAGAGAAAAATTAATTATAAAAAAAGTGTTATAAAAACGTTGAGTAAGAATATTTTTTAAAAAGGGAAATCTCGTGGTGAAAATAAATAGATTAAACTTAATAACCTATATGTAGACTATTTTACAAGAATCTTGTTTAAATGCGGCCAAAACATGTAGATCAACAATGTAAAGTTGTAACTTATGAACTGTTTGGGACACCTTTTCAAAACAAAACGTGTTTTACTAGAATGGTGTTGAAATATTCCTAATTTAGAACACTTTTACATTTCTTTTCAAAATCAAGAAAAATATTTGTTAATTTGGTTTATTTTTTTTATAAGACATCTCAATACATTTACAACAATTATTCTATTATTGATATTATTACCACTGTCAATATTATTATTATTATTATCATTATTACTATCAATACTATTAATATTATCCACGTCACTATCACACCTTTAAATTAATTTTAACAAAATAGGAAACCTTTTAAGTGAGTTAATTTTAAAATTAAAATCAGAATGGAAAAAAAATTAATTTTAAAAAATAAATAAAAGCTAAATGTAATTTTAAAAACTTTGAAACTAAACTTATATCATCCTATTAAGTAGCTTTAAATTCATAATTAAATTCTAGATATACAACATCAACCCCTATATATTAAATACAAATCTCTATCTTGTACAAGAGTGTTTTTAGATAACAAGAGGATTTATACAAAATTTTTTAGCTTCTTATCTAATTTAGTATAATTATTTATAAATAAAATATTAATATTTTAAACAAATTATCAATAAATAAAATAATTTTATATTACAATATAAATTATTTATCATAAATAAAAAATATTATTTATATGTTTAAAAATATCTATTAATATAACTTTTAAATATAATTTATTTATTAAAAAAATAATTTATTTATATATAATTTATGATAAATTTAAGTTGTATATAATATATATTTAAATTGTACAATGTACGAAATAAAATGATAATTTATTTCAATAATACTATATTTATTTCATAGAAAATATAATAAATAAAAATTGAGTTATATAATAGAACTTAAAAATAAGGGATAAAGAGAGGTAGTGAATTCTCTTTTGACGCATGACTTTTTATTTTGATGAACATCATTCATATAATCATAAAACTGATAATAAAGAACTAATGTGTTTGTGAAACATATCACTAGCCAAATATAATTTTAACAATACAAGAATTAATCCTGAGAGAACCGGATCGACTTGACATAGAGTTACTCCAAAAGAATATATATTATTAATCAGAGAAAATTTTAAGCGCATTAGATCTAGTTATTTTTAATTTTAGATGATTATTATTGTTAATATAATTTATAAATTTTTAAACATTAATATTTATTTATATTTAATTTATTATAAATTTTAATTATTATAATAAACATGTCTATATATTAACCAGGTTAAAGTACTAGTATTAAATACTCGTAAAACTTAACTGCTCGTAACACTTACTTTAAAAATATTTTCTTTTTTGTGAAAAATACTTCTTGTTTGAACCGCTAACCTTGTTTACATACCTAGATATATTTTTCACCTAACCTTCCCATTAACCAAATTTTGAACAAATCAAAACCAGCATTACTTCTCCGTCTTTTTCTATCTATTTTATTTCATTCAAAACGAAAACTGTGAAAAGCTGTAATACTATGTGTAGCCGATGACTGCGACATATTCTTTTCAAGTAGAAAATAATCACCTTTATAAGGGGCATATTTTAAAAATTATACACTAATATTTAAAAAAATAGGTTTCTGATTATTTTAAATAGCTTCTAAAATGAACTATAATTATAACTATCATTCATATTTCATAAATTAATATAATTATAATCAAACAAAAAATGACCTCTACTTCACATGAAATTTCTTAAAAATAAACACTTTGTATATTTTTAAAAGTTACTTTTTCTCCCAAAAAAAAATAGTTAAAACAAATGGACACAGTTTTGTTTTTCAAAAAGGACTCGTAAAAAACACAAAAAAGTGGCTGTAAGAATCATTTCCCACATTTTTTCACACCAAAAAGTCGGACCGAATGTTTGCATGCATGATAACGGGCGTTTGACCAAAATAAGAGGATCCTAAACATATTTAACATTTCTTAGTAATGACATGAAGGAGCATGTACATGTGTTGTTAAAAGAAAATGTATTGACGCATGCTCTTCTCTACAGTCTACAGTCTACACCAATTCCTTCATCACTATATTTTATAGTTTATGTGCATTTTTTTTGGAATGGTGATCCAGCTGGAGCAATGAGTCCAAGGTTTTCCATCACTCTTATCCTCCTGGAACTCAACTCTGGGGACTTCCCTAACGAGTTCGTTTCCTGAGCAAAAAAGTTAATATTGTAGAATTAAAAAAACTGATAGAAGAGAAGGTGAATTTCTCTGTTTTTATTTCACTGTATAATCAAACAATACAATGATATATATATATATATATATATATATATAGACTGATATTTGTCTTTCAGAAGCTCAAAAGCTTAAAATTAATTTAACAACCTACAATCAAAACCCATTACTGCTAATAACTATTGACTCTTGACCTTTTATTTGAACCAAATAAGAAACTGCTAAATTAAAATCATTAAAAACTGACATTAAAGTTTATTTCAACAAAACTCCCATGTAACCTTAAATGCTAGGGACTGGATTGTTTATGTAAGTCATATCTCTAGAGAGATGAATTCAGTAGCTCATACGCTTGCTAATTGGGGTGTACGGAATGTAGGTTCCGTTGTATTTTGGAGGACTCCTCCTGATTTTATCCTGTTAGCACTAGGGAGAGACTCTATGTCTTGATTGTCTGCTGTTTTAAATTTCATTCTTTACCAAAAAAAAAAAATGCTTCTTCCATCCTTCATGCCAATCAATTTCTTGTAGTTGTTGAAAAATACTGCCGGTAGCGGTTTCATGAAGATATCTACGACTTGGTCTCGACTTGCCACGTGCACTAATTCCACATTTCCTTCCTTCACATGATCTCGGATGAAGTGAAAGCAAACGTCAATGTGTTTGCTTCTCTCATGATTTACTGGGTTCTTTGCCAATTCAATTGCTGATTTATTGTCAACTCATCACAATCGCACCAATTTGTTGTTGCTCCAATTTACCCAACAGATTTCTAAGCCATATTGCATGACATACACACCAAGACGTTGCCACATATTCAGCTTCACATGTCGAGAGAGTTACGATTGGTTGCTTTTTTGAAAGCCAAGTAAAAGTCGTGCCCCCTATAAAGAACACATATCCCGACGTACTTTTTCGATCGTCTAAGTCTCCATACCAGTCACTGTCAAAATACCTAATCAACTTGTAATCTTCCGCACTTGAATAGAATAAACCGAGAGACACCGTTCCTTGAATATACCGTAGAATTCGCTTCAATGCCTTCTAGTGTGAATAAACAGGCTCCTCCATGAATCGACTTACAATGCCAACACTTAATGAAAGATTTGGTCTTGGTCATGTGAGATAGCGAAGACTTCCCACCAAACTCTGATATTTGCTCGCATCGACTCGATCTCCTCCATCAAATTTTGAGAGTTTTGCACCCGGTTCCATTGGTGTTGATACTGGATTGCAATATGCAATCTTATATTTTTCCAAAATCTCCTTTGCATAGTCTCCTATGACACAAAAATCCTCGTCTCTCCTTGTCTTACCTCTAGACCAAGAAAAAACTTCATCAAACCCAAATCTGTCATCTCAAATTCTTGTGCCATTGTGCTCTTAAACTCTTGTACCATCTCATCATTGTTCCCCATGAAAATGAGGTCATCAACATAAAGAGCTACAAATAACATATTAACTCCACTCTCTTTCACATAAAGGGCATGTTCATGGGGACATTGTTCAAACCTGTTCTCCTTGAAGTATGTATCAATGCGAGTATTCCATGCCCGCGGTGCTTGCTTTGACCCATAGAGCACCTTCTTCAATTTCAGCACCTTCTTCTCTTCTCCACTTTTCATATACCCGGGTGGTTGTTCGATGTAGATTTCTTCTTCGAGTACACCATTCAAGAATGTCGCCTTGACATCCATTTGAAATATCGGCCATTTGAATTGAGCCGCTTGTGAAATGAGCAATCGAATTGTCTCCATTCTTGTAACAGGAGCAAACACCTCATCATAGTCAATTCCCTCCTTTTGCCTGTATCCCTTTGCAACAAGTCGTGCCTTGTACCGTTCTGTCTCGCCTTGAGCATTCATCTTCCTCTTAAACACCCACTTCACACCAATGGGTTGACTTCCTTTTGGCAATTTCGCTAACTCCCATGTGTTGTTGCGGTCAATTGCTCTAATCTCCTCGTCCATGGCTGTTTTCCACTTCATGTCTTGCACTGTCTCTTCAAAACTTATATTTTCGGAATCAGCCAAGAGACAGACAATGTGTACCTCATTTGTTGAGTCATACAAATCTTGCAAACTTTGCATTTTGGGATATTGCGGTTCATTTTCATCATCAATAGTTTCAGGATTTGTTGATTTAATTGTTGGTATAACGGTTGAAGATCCTCCATCTTCGTTGATAACCTCTGTTGAGTTACTCCAATCCCACTTGCTTGCTTCATTAACTCATACATCACGACTTACCACGACCTTCTCGCTTATTGGGTCCAACAACTTGTATCCTTTTGTTTTCTCGTCATACCCAATAAAAATATACCTTTTGCTTTTGTCTTCGAGCTTCGTTCTTCGCTGATCTGGCACGTGTGCATAGGCCACACTACCAAATACTTTGAGATGAGAAATTGTTGGTTTTTATCCGCTCCATGCCTCTTGTGGAGTTTGATCATCCAGCTTCGCATGTGGACACCGATTTTGCACATAGATAGCACATTGCACAACTTCCGCCCAAAATTCCTTCGACATCTTCTTGCTCCTGAGCATTGACCGAACCATATCAAGAACTGTCCGATTCTTCCTCTCGGCCACATCGTTTTGTTGGGGAGAGTATGGTGCGGTTAGAAATCGCCTTATGCCTTCCGCCTCACAATACTCCATGAAAGCCATCGAAGTATACTCACCACCTCTGTCGGATCGTACTGATTTGATGTGTCTACCAATTGCCTTTTCCACCACCACTTTGAACTTTTTGAACACCTCAAAAGCCTCAAATTTTTCCTTTAGAAAATAAACCCAAGTTTTTCGTGAGAAATCATCAACGAAGGAAATGAAATATCTTTTACCGCTAAAAGATTCAGGGGTGATTGGTTCACATATGTCGGTATGAATTAATTCGAGAGGTCCCTTAGCACGATATTCTGCCTTCTTTTGAAATGAAGTTCTCATATTCTTGGTGAGTACACATTCTTCACAAAATTTTCCCTCGTAATTCATGTCCGGTAGCCCGTGCACCATGTTCTTATTTGCCAACTCGTTTAGACCACAATAATGTAGATGACCAAAACGGAGATGCCACATTGACGCCTTGTCTTCTACGTTGACTCGCAAACATTTTTCTTGAACGTTTCTCAAATTCAGCTTATACATGCGATTTCTCCCCATTTCAACTCAAGCGACCAAATGCCCGTGCTTATCTTTCAAGTGTAATTCCCGGTCTTTCATAAGTACCGTATAACCTTTCTCCATGAGTTGCCCCATACTCAAAATGTTGCTCTTGAGATCTGGTACGTAATACACATCTTGGATTGACCCAACTAAGCCATCCTTTTGTAAATAACAAACTGTACCTTGGCCTTTGACTTCAACCTTTGATGGATCTCCAAACGACACATGTCCAATTTCAACTTTTTGCAATTCTTTGAATAGGTGCTTGTGCCCGCACATATGATTGCTTGCACCCATGTCAAGGTACCACACCGTGTTGTTGTTAGTGTTGACTTCGTTATATGCCATCAAGAGAAAAATTTCTTTTGCTTCCACATCTTCCGTGATTAAATTGGTTGTTTCTTCCACCTTTTTCTCAACTCGGCATCCTTTCGCACACTTCCCCACCTTGCCCCAATTATAACACTTATCGGAATTACAATCCCTCGCATACTGACCATATTTGCCACACTTGTAACACTCGACATTGGAATAATTTGTCCGACTGCCTCTCTAACGAGCACGTCCTCTTCCACGCCAGTTTTGCTGGTTTGATTGCTCTTTCTCCTCATAATACCCTTCTTGACTACGACCTCTACCACCGTGACCATTTCCTCGACCTCCACGGCCACGCCCTCTACCTCAAATGTTTTGAGAATAGACTGCCTTTTCGTCTTTGATTGACGCCTTGATTTGGGGTGCTTGCTCAAGTATCTCCTCCTCCTTCTTCTTCTTACGTTGTTCGTGTGCCTCGAGAGATCCTGCAAGCTCGTCGACCGTGAGCATTGTTAGGTCCTTTGACTCTTATATAGCACATACAACATTCTCGAAACTATCGGTTAACGACCTCAAAATCTTCTCCACAACTCGTACAACAGTTAACGTCTCTCTATTTTGGTTGAGTTGGTTCACCATAGTTTGAACACGTGTGATGTAATCGGAGACCCATTCTGACTGGTTCATCTTCATGCTTTCCAACTCGCCGCGAAGAGTTTGAAGGCGGACTTGTTTAACCTTGTCAGCTCCTTTGTACACTTTTGCCAAAATGTCCCATGCTTCCTTTGAGGTTGACGCACGCGCAATCTTCTCAAAGCCTAACTCATCAACAGCTCGATACAACAGGTACAAAGCCGCCTTATCTTTCGATCGCGTCTCTTTCAACTTTTGTGTTGGGCAGCTGAATATCCCATGGTAGTTTCCGGTTCTTCGAAACCTTCTTGGACCACCTCCCAAGCACTTGAGACCCAAGAAGAGCTTTCATTTGGACGCTCCAATTGTCGTAGTTTGTCGTCTTCGTCAGTCGGAGCAGCGACAGATAATTAGTCACACTTGCCATTAGCTCTTATACCAATTTGTAGAATTAAAAAAAAACTAATAGAGGAGAAGGTGAATTTCTCTGTTTTTATTTCAGAGTATAATCAAACAATACAATGATATATATATATAGACTGATATTTGTCCTTCAGAAGCTCAAAAGCTTAAAATTTTATTAACAGCCTACAATCAGAACCCATTATTGCTAACTATTGACTCTTGACCTTTTATTTGAACCAAATAAAAAACTGCTAAATTAAAACCATTAAAAACTGACATTAAAGTTTATTTCAACAAATACACCAGACAAAATCGAATAAACAACACATGAAATAACAAGGTTCAATTCCATATACTTACATCAGTTACATGACTTTGGCTAGCATCACCATCCAATGTCTCCTTTTGCTTTTGGCGCTTGATTGTGTTCTGCTCCTCATCTTGCCCATTGGATTTTCGCTTGCCTGCGGCATTTTTGCTTGAAGTTCCTGTTGAAAAAATAAAACAGGGAGAAATTAATATTTTCTGGAATTTATAGTGTTTGATTAGAGAGAAATGGAGGCGAAGGAAAAGGGATTTTATAAACTTTTTTGTTTGGTTCAATTTTTAAAAGGGTAAGGGGTGAGAATAGAGAGGAGCTCTAAAGCACGAATACACTACTTTCATTCCCATATCAGTATGAGATATGTATCCGATACGGATACGTCCCAATACATTACAAATACGGGAAAAGATTTTTAAACATTTTTAATATAATGCCAAAAATATCCTTACTTATGTTTTTAAATTCAAAATTATCAGGGTACAAAGGTTAATTAGTTTTTAAAATCTCTTTCCTCCCTTGTGAACCAAACAAGGAAATAGTTATCTCTCCTCCCTCCCCCTACTTTGAACCAAACATAGCCTTATGCATTGATTTACAATCAATGAGTAATGGACTAATGGGAAACTATATGCCAACATGAACCAACATCCAGCTTAATAATCAGTAAATGAGTATTTAATATAACCTATTCCATATAAAAAAAACAAAAGATTACTATGTATAACATAAATGTTACTCCCTCCGGTCTTTGTTATAAAACATAATTTAGAAAAAATTCTGTCCTTTATATAAAGCATCTTATAGTTTTTAGAAAACATCAAATTATTATTTTTTTGTTTGCTCCTATTAAAGATTGTGAGGATATATATTTTTCTCTCTCACTTCTTAAATTCTCTTCAATTGAGATTTATCATTTTTATTGATATTGGTACATAAACTTTGATAAAGAATAATATCTCCACCTCTCATGAAAATTTAATGATAAGTAAGAAAAATAAATTTGGTAAATCATGATTTTATTTTATAAACTTAAAATCAACTAACATAACTACTTATATTGTTCTGTGTAATTTGGTTAAAAATGTCTTATAATATGGATTAGAGGAAGAAATATTTTAAAACCTGCTAAAGCTGAAGCTAAGTTCTCCACTTTCATACAAATAAAACCCAACTAATACAGTGGCAGATGTGGCCAAACGTAATCTAACAGATACAAAACTCAGCAACTATATATTAAACTATGAATAAGATTAAATAGACACAATACAAACAACACCAGATCGTATGTCCAAACAGCACTACAGCAGCAAACCCACAAAGAGGATAAGCCACCCTGCATACAGTCAAATAGCTGCTTGGAGTTATAGAAACTAAAGTGCAGAATTCGACTAAAGGGCTGTGATACATCTCTATTGAGGTTGCTGAAAAGTTGAGACAAATGCCACACGATGGTCTGCGCATGGAGGCTCAAACCAAAGTGGGTATCCACTGGACTGATCTGAGCGTGAGGAACCATCATTAAATGACATGAATAACAGCTAGGAAGCTACAGATCTTGCAGAGGGGCCAAAAGCCTGAGAGAAAACTTTGCAATCACAAAAGACAAACTGCAACAGCACACGATAATGCGGGGGAAGTAACAAAGCAAGGAAAGCACAGCTGGAGAAATGAAGGTTTTAAAGTCATGGATAGTAAAGGGGGAGAACAGTGAAAAACACCCTTCAAAAACTTGGGTAGGAGAAGGAGATGAAAGAAGAGTGGCCAAAATATTAATGTGTTGTATTTCATATCATTCATGCATAGCATTGTACTTGGGAAAAATTGCATATTGTCATTTAGGTCTTCCTCGGCCTGTTTTTCAACTATTTGTGAAATTTGTTACGCTTTGGGTGTTTTTATGTTTCAGGAATTCCCATTCTATGCTTGTGAGGCACTCCAGCAAGAAGAAGAGACATTATTGAAACTTTGAAGTGAAGATTGGAGCTTAAGAGGCCTAATTCACAAGAAGGAGCATAATCTGCCTAGACAATGTTCATCAAATTTGTTGATGGATCTAATGTTGTGAATATGGGAGAAAAGCTATTTGAATTACTTGATTCAATTGTAAAGGAAATTGGAGGGAAAAAAATTGTCCAAGCCTCCCCAGACAATGGAAGTACCTATGTTCTTGCTAACAAGAAATTGGAGGAAAAAAGACCTAAAACTTATTTTGGACTCTTATGTGTAGCACATTGCATACATTTAATGTTGGAGGACATTTAAAGGATTCTCAATATAAAAAAAATAAAAAAATAAAAAAAAACAATTCAGCAGGCAATTACTTTGGTTGGCTTTTATTTGCAGCTATTCAAGCACTTTGGGTTTGTTGAGGTTCTTTACAAACAAAAGGGAGTTAATGAGGCATGTGGTAACCTGATTTGCAACATCTTTTCATTCCTTGGAAAGGATCCTCCAAGAGAAAACAAATATAAGAAAGATGTTTATCTTGGATGAGTGGAGTGCAAACAAGTTGGCAAAAGGAAGAGAAGTGAAATTGAATTGATACCAAATTTTTGGAGGAATGTGGTGCATAAGTCATAGATCCTCTTGTGAAAGTACTTTAGCTTCTTGATGGTGAGAAAAAGCCCATTGCGGGCTATATTAAAGCTATGGATAGGGCAAAGAAAGGTATTGTGAAGTCTTTTAATAATAATGAGAGCAAATATAAAGTATTTGAAAATCATTGATAGAAGATGGAATATTCAACTTCATCACTCATTACATACAACTGGCCATTTTTTGAATCCAAGAGTTGTTTTATGACAATCCTTAAATGGAATTTGATAGTAAGGTTATAATATTATATTCATGCACCAATAAGTTGCAGGGAAATCTAGATGTGGGTCGAAAAATCATGTTGTAGTTGCACACTTATAAAAATTGCAGGTGAAATAGTTGGGAATGATATTGCCATATCAATGAGGAAAAGGGTGTCACTAGGTAAGAAAGAAACAAAGCCAATAAAAATTTTAAACTTCTATCCTTCAAGTCATTTGCTTAAGTGTTTAACACATTTTCCTTGACTTTATAGTTCAATGGTAGCGACCATATGGTTCATTAACTCCTAATTTACAAAAACTAGCTATAAAGATCTTAGGCTTGACTTGTAGTGTTTCAGGTTGTGAACATAATTGGAGTGTCTTTGAACAAGTGATCAATTTGCTTTTAAGAGTCAATAATGAATTCCAAATCTTTCTTATAATCATTCCATGACTATTTAACTAAATGTTGTATAATCATACAAAGAGAAGGAATAGGCTTGAGCATAAGCAAATGCATGACTTGGTCTATGTCAAATATAATCAAGCACTCAAGCAAAGATGCAACCTTAAGAAGGAAATTGATCCAATTAGCCTTAATGATATTGATGACTATAATGAGAACAAGTTGGAGAAATGGATGGAGATGATGATGAAGCTCAAGATCACAGAAATTTTTATGGAGATGATCCACTTACTTGGGAATATGTTTATAGGATTTTAAAGGTTGGAGAGCTTATAAAGTATAATATATACTAGGTGCAACAAAAGGAAGCAAGCTGCAAATGGAGAAGGTGCATCATCTCAAAGAGCTTCTAAAAGAAACAAATGAGGGCTTTCTTCAACTAGGAAAGGAAAAATGTTTCAAGTTGAAGATTTAGAAGACATTAATGAGGAATCCGAGGAAAAATGGACAAATATTAATTTTAACAATTTGGAAGAGAAGCTGAAGGATATGCCTCAGTAATGATGATGGGAATTATGAGGATGAGGAGGATGATTAGATTAGTACAATGTGTCTTGTTGTCTTGAGTCTTGACTCTTTGATCATTGTCTTTCTTTACCTTATTCACATTCGGAAAAATAAGTCATTTAAACGAACAAGACAATTGGAATCAGCCTTGGGGGAATCAACCAATTTTTCATCCATTAAAACAAGTCACAACAAATAGAATGAAACTGCAATAACAAGCAAGCACAACCAAACAAGAAAAGCACAAGAAACAACTAGAGCAGCAACCAAATAGGAAGAGGTCCTTCACAAAAGAGAGACCCATAGATCATAGTAGTCAATAGTGGCCATAGTAGCGACGATTGCGGTGGGGCATTGCGGTCTATCGTGGCAATTTTTAAAAAAAAATCTGAAAATACCTCATTAAATGAGCTCATAAGTCCCATCGCCTTTTATATTAGGTGACGAACTATCTTAACCCATTGTAACTCTCTTCTCCCTCACTTGCTTGAACAATTTGCTTCATCTTCTTTGACGACTCTCTCCGTTGACATTCTTACTTCATCCTCTCTAACGACTCTGTGATTTGCTTCATCTTCTTTAATGACTTTCCATTCATCAATTTGTTTTTCTCTTTTTTCTTTATTTTTTTCTATTCTCCGTCATTCTCGTGTTTATATTCACTTTTCTTTCCTATTTTTCCACTGTTCATCTCTTTTGTTTGTTCCTTTTCTTTCTCTTTTTTCAGTTCATTTTTTTTTTATTTGGTGATCAGCAGAACCATGGCCTAACCAAACGCTATTGGAACTAGTCCTTGTCTCACACCATCAATGAGTTCTTCAATCGAAATGTTTAAGCCTACTGGTGACAACATTGATGTATTTTGGAAGCGGAATAACTTTAAAGACAAAAACAACAGTAAGAGTGTAACCTGTGATTTTTGCCTAAAAACTTCTATAGGAGGAATTACTAGTGCAAAAAGACATCAACTTCAAATAAGCGGAGATGTACATGCTTGCAAAAAAATATCAGAGGATATTAAATTAGAAATAAAGGTTGCTTATGAGAGAAAAAAATTGACAATGAAGTATATATGGAGTCTATGCAAGAAGATGAAGAGGAAGATGACATCCAAGCTATTGCTAGATTTAAGAGACCTTTATCTACATCAAGTGAAGCCACTTCTACTACCAAGAGGAGGGGTATAAACGTCGAAGGTCCTCTTGATTTGCACTTTGCTAAAAAATCGGAAGAAAGTATCAAATTAGGTAAAGTCTACAAACAAACAAGTTTAAATGATACTTGTAATAAGAAACCAAGAGCAAGGGTAGTTCAATACATTGCCCGCTTCTTTATTAGGAATGGAATACCATTTAATGTTGCCCCATCAAAAAGTTTCAAATTGATGGTTGAAGCTATTGGCACCTACGATCCCCATTTAAGCCACCAAGCTACCATGAATTGAGAGTTCCATTCCTTAAAAAGAAATTGGAATACACCAATGGCTTATTGAAGGGCCATGAAGAGAGTAAAATATGAATACTCACTATCTGATGGTTGAATGAATAGAAAAAATAGAACTTTGGTTAACTTTTTAATAAATTGTTCATTGGGAACAATGTTTGTGAAGAGTATGGATGGTTCTGAGTATACCAAGACTAGTGAGAAAATGCTTGAGCTTTTAAATAATTTTGTTGAGGAAATTGGAGAAAAAAATGTTATTCAAGTGGTGACAGACAATGGAAACAATTATGTTATGGTAGGCAAGAATTAGTCATCGTCGTTCCTCAATGAGATTTTAATTTTATACTCATAAGATTATATAAGTTATAACTTTTAATTTTAATTATTTTGTTATTGGTCTTTTTAGGTTTGGACTCCATGTTCTTCCCATTGTCTTGACTTGATACTAGAAGATATTGGAAAGATCCCTAAAGTTAAAAGGGTAATACAAAGAGGCATTACGCTTGTGGGTTTCATTTACAATCATTTGTTGATGCATTGAGTTACAAGATTTGCAACAACCTTTCTCATTTTGCAACAATTGCATAAGTAAAAAACCAATCTTAAAAGGATGTTTACATCCAATGAATGGTTGCAGTCAAAGGGAACCAAAGAAAATAAGGGAAAGAAAACAATAGATGTTATTCTTATGCCTCCATTTTGGAGTGATGTTATCTATGCTTTAAGGCCTATTGTACGTGGTTTGAGATTAGTGGATAATGAAAAAAAATTGTCAATGGATTACATTTATGAAGTTATGGATAGGGCCAAAAGAGGCAATTCAAATTTCTTTCAATCACAATGAAGAAAAATACACAGATATATTTGCAATTATTGATAAAAGATGGGATTGCCAACTTCATCATCCTTTGCATGCAACAAAATATTATCTAAATCTCGAGTTCTTTTAAAGAAATTCAAAAATTAATGATGATGATGATGAAGTGATGGATGACATCCACAAATGTATTGACAGGCTTAGGGATAATGAATTTGTAGACAACATTCACACTCAGATGCTACTGTATAAAAGGGCGGGAGACAGATTTAGCATTCTTGTAGCAGTGAGAACAAGGGTTAAGATGGCTCCTAATAAGTTAAAAAGTTCTTAAGTCTTAACTTCACTTACAAATTTTATGATTATTTGATAATTTTGTGTAAATAATAATATTCAATTCTTAATGCATTGTGTATGAAAAGCATTTCAGTTGAGTGGTGGAAGATGTATTGAGGACATACACCACGTTTGCAAATTCTTGCCATTAAGGTACTAAGCTTGATTTATAGCTCATTGGTTTGAGAGCATAACTAAAATACCTTTAAGCATGTAAGCTAATGACTTAATGTATTTATGTAAAATTGAAATGAACAATTTAAATTTGAGTTTACCATTAAAAATGGAAACTTAACTAACATTCATGTTTTTTAAATTATTATAGGTTCACTCAAGGAAGAGAAGTAGACTTGAGCACCAAAAGTTTCAAGACTTGATTTTTATTAAATACAATCAAGCTCTACAAGAACGCTTTGAGCAACGGGATGTAATTGATCATATTGTCTTAAATGATATTGATGATAACAATGAGTGGATGTTGAGAGATTAGGATGAAGATGATAATGTTGAAGATGATTTGGTTTTTGATGATGATGTTTTGACTTGGACAAATGAGGCCAAGGCAATTGAAGCTAGTGAACCTTTGAAATACACTAGGAGACAAACACTAGTGAAAAAGGCAACAACAATTGCATCTACATCAGTAAAGAAAAAGGAAAAAAGTGACAAAAGTAGTGGAAGAAGATTTAGATGAAGATGAAGTAGAAGAAGAATATAATTCTAATGCTAGTGGGAGTGATGAATTAGAAGGAGAAGAAAACTTTAATCTTGATGAGGAAGAAGATTGAACTTTAATGTTTAATTTTTTAGTTATTTAGAGCTTTAGCTATGCTATAGATGACTTAAGCTTTAAGCACTTTATTTTCTAGACATTTTATGATGTGCTTTGTTCGAGTACTATAAACTTTTATCATTAAAAATTATTAATGCATGAATTTAGAGTTATGCTTTTTTTAGATTTTATATATATATATATATATATATATATATATAAAATTTATTATTTAATATACATAAATATAACATTAGAATACTAGTAATCCTGCTATCCACAATCCCACTTCGAGAGTCGGCTGCTCCGCCGGTTGATAACTATGCCTCAAACCATACTTGGTAAAAAAAATAGGGAGGGTCAGCCTATACCATGGTTGACAAATACCAAGAACAAACCAAAGGGCAGGGAAGCTTTGCTACCAACTTGAATTTATAACTGATCCTTTTACTGATTTCTTGAAGAAGAGAACCCTCAACAATGGGCTGAATAAATACATTTATGATACAACAAATAATGCAGGAAATAATTATCTCTTAATCTTAGGGATCAACCTAAATAGCAAGTCAACAAGAGATATCCAACATATCTAAAATAACAAAAAAGAATAAAAGAACAATGCATTTGATAAATATACAAAATCAACTATAAACCAACAAAAACAAATGGAAAAGGGATAGCCCAAACACTTGGGTGTTTACACTCTTTTTCACTCCTTTTTTTTCTTTTCTATGGAAAGAGGAAACTCAAAATAGCTATGCAATTGTAATTTGGTAAAGAAAAAGTGCAAAACCATTAGAATTGCAAGAAAATGGGGTAACCTTTAGGCTTTGATGATGATGACCCCTTTGATCTATGGGATTTTGTACTAGGAAGATCCTTTCACCCACAAAAAAATGACAGCAAACCAAACAGTTAGTTCAAAGTGTTTAAGACAACTTGCTGCCTAAGAAAAAAACAAAAAACTGAAGATCATGCTCATGACTTCATTAGCAATCCAAATGAAAAAGTTATAGGTACGATGTACCTTTTCAAGAGCCTGCAGAAGTATTTTCCTGAGAGAACCATCATTTTGCTCAAGTATCTGAAAACTCAGAGATATAAGGACAAAGAAATTCATGCAAAGCCCTAATATTTACAAGGAGACAAAAAGTAAATAAATATATCAAACAGTTTCCAAATATCAACTTACCGTCTTAAACTCAGAACCATATTTAATAGGATCTGCATAAGAACTGCAGAAGGAAACAAGGATTGTTACAACGAATTAATGTGTAAAATGTACAGATCATCAATAGAAAAAAATACTGACTATGTATAACTTCCATAATGCCTAACAAGGACTTCCCCTGGCAATCGTTTCCTCCTGTTGCTCGGTTTAACACTCTTATTAACACTATTTTCATCAACAACCTACAACAAAGTCAATTATTTCAGAAAAAAAGGTAATTTAAACATCAATTAGTTGATATTAAACATGGTATCTAGCCTTTCACGAGGTCAAAGAAATCTGGAAGCACGAAAATTCGCCTACCTGCGCAGGCCACCATGAGCCACTGCGAAGCTTGATAAATATCACATCTCCCAAAGCCACTGAATCATTTGCAACTTCTTCACTGGTCTCACTCCTACTCCCACAAGCCTTCATAGTTCAATCTGGGCTAAGAAAGCCCAAAGGTCCCAACTTGTTGATTTCACCGCTAAATAATGCACTAAACCCACAAGAAAACATAATCAATTAATTGTCTAGGCTAACACAAAAACATACACACAGCATTAATCTGTGTATGTCATTCTTCTTTACCCAAAATTCAATTGTCATGTAAAACACCAAAGACGAGAAACATGAACTAAACAAAAAATTGAAACCAAAATTTGAAAATAAACAGAAATTTTCAAATTTCAGTGACATGCAAAAATAAACAAATAAATAAAAAGAAAGCTTGGACAGAGAAGAAGTGTAAGAACATGCACACTTACAACAGGAATAAGAATGCATGCGAGAGTAGGAGGATGAAGAAAGACCTTGTAAGAGAGAACCCCAATCAGCCTCGAGTCAAACAACTCTCCAAAATCCTTGTTTTTTCAAGAACAAGATTCAGATTTTGTCGCAGAACTGAATCGTATGTTAGCATATTTTAAATTAGTATAAATAGATATTTTAAATATATAAATTATATTTTAATTTTTAATTTTTTTTTACAAATTTTAGATTTAAGATAAATAAATATTATTATATTATTTTAATTATTATATTTTTTAAAATGTTTAAATTCAATCAATTCTAAATATTTAAATTTATTTTATGTAAAATTGGTTTTAAGAATTTTTCAAAAGAAAAAGATTTGTAAGAAATTTTTAATCTTTTTATTTAATATGATTTTTATTTATTATAATTATTTATTAATTAAATATTAATATTTTAAAATAAATTACAAATAAATATAAATGTATATTTTTATAATATAAATTATTTACTATAATTTTAAAATATAATTTAAATATTTATTTTTAATGTAATTTATATATTTAAATATAATATTTTGATATATAATCTGTTATAAATTTTAATTATATTATATATAATAAAAATATTTGTATATTATACAAGCTAAAATATTAGTTTATAAATAAATATAATAAATAAAAAACCTAAATTTATAGAAAGTTAAAAGAATTTTTCAAAAATTCTCTAAATAAATAATAGTCTATCATACAAGATAATTATTTTGCTTTTAATATATTGAGTTGATTAAATATATATAACATAAAGTTATTGAATGCTTTAAATATAAATTTAAAAAATAAATATTAAAAAAATAATAACTTAAACTTTTTTAACTAATACAATATACAAAATAAATATCATATTTATTTATAAATTAAATATTAGTTAGTATTTTAACTTGTGCAATTAAATTATTTATTTTATATAACTAAAATTTATAATAAATTATATGTAAAAAAATATCATGTTTAAATATATAAATTATATTTA